ATAGTGATCCCGGACGGAATGAGTTCATTATCAGAACGGCGCAAGGCCTTCATGACAGATATTGGCATAATGTTGACTGTGGCCCCACAGTCGACAAACACTTTGGAAATAGGGAATCCTTCGATGTGAGCCGTGATGTACAACGGCTTCAGGTGTTGGAGATTAACCGAAGGGGAGCGAGGAAATAGCTCGGCCAATGCCGCCTTAAGGTTGTCCGTGCTTCGGGTTTCTCGGTCGTCATCGTTTGCGATGAAATCGACTTGTGTTGCCTCCTCGGCGACAACATCCCCATCCAAGAAATTTGACTGGGGTGTACTTGGTTGGAATTCGGCTGGTAACACATGGACCATACTAATCTCCATTTGTTCGAGGACTGAAGGACCCATGGGATCGTGGTCGTCGTCTTCTGCCGAACTAGTCACAGTATCAGCCGGCGGAACATCCTCGATCAAGCTTTCAAGTGCCTCGGTAAGAGCCGGTACCCGAGACGTGGGAACCAAGTCGAATGTGGTGTGGCTATTTTCCTCGACCATGTTGACTGTCGAAGATTTATGTTGGTCCTTTGTTATACGGGCTCGTTCTTCATAGGCAATGCGGGCGTTCCTAGTGTCGAGATATGTATCCAACCTTGCTATTCGTTTTTCTTCGTCGGCCGTGAGGCCGAAGAGTGATACCGCCGAGAAAACTTCGAAGTGATAGCGCAAATGCTGAAGGTCATCGAGCGAGAAAGGTAATTCGGCGGTGTCGATATCTGTATAAGGATCAACATCAAAACCAAGTACCCGAGCTTCCCGTATATGCTGGAACCTTGCCTTTATTGCTGGGTCGGAGGTTTTCTGAATGATTTGCTCGGCATCAGGGCAAGTGAGAGCTAGGTCGAGGGCTTCCTGACACTCCTTGGGTAGTCCGTACAAGTTATTGGCGGAGTATTTCTTATGAAACTCTCGCATGTATTCCAAGGATTCACCGAGGAATGGGGGATGCAAGTTGCGCCGTACTTTGATAAACGGTTCGCGCGGTGGTGATGGGGAAATCTTCCTTTTGGCCTCTTGCGTGAAGTGTTCTAGCCGAGCTCTAGTTTCCCCAGGCCGAAGCAGGATTTTGATACGTTTCTCAGCATCCTCAATGGTGGTTTCAAAACCGGCAGCGGCTACTTGCTTCCCTTCGGCCAATTCGGTCATGATAGTCGGGGTTGGCCGTTCACTGATGCTTTCCGCGGCCTTCTTTGGTTGCCACTGGTTGGCAGTGCTGGCCTGCGCTTCTCGTCGCCGAGCCATGCAATCAATCCGTTGACGGCGACGTTTTTGGGATTTAGACAGTGCTGTATATAAACCAGTCGGGGAGTTGTAACTGTACCAGCGTTGATCCGATGTTCGGGGTGGTTTGAAGGTTTTGCGATCGGCTGACGAGCTGGAACTGTTAGTATTGTGCGAGTAGTAATCCTCATTATAGAAAGGCGCGTCGAAATCAAGACGCCGCCTGACTGAGGCCTGGTCTTTCGGCCGTACTTGTAAGCCGAGTCGATCGAACACTTGACGTCGCGGACCAACTTCCTTTGGTGCTGTGGTAAGGGCCGTGGGTGTTGTTGAAAATGTCTTCTTCCCAGGTTCAATCGGTGTTTTACAATGGTCACATAAAACCTTTGACTCATGAGTTTCGTCGGAACTCGACCCCGTCATAGGCTCATCGGCGAGGGGCCTCGATTGTTCCGTGGGTGGTGCATTCGAAAATATATCAAGCTTTAGCCTTGTTCGACCATTCTGTTTACGAATATGCTGCACCGGAACGTATTCGGCCTTCCCTTTGTTTTTAGGAAGATGAGCATCCACCATACCAATTGTTGTTGAAGGGAAGGGATTGACGTCGACCGCCATCTGCTTTTCCGGAAATTTCAATTTTCCTTTCTCGATCCAACTTTGGATTGTATCCCGGAACACGACACAATTATTTGTTGCATGCTTATTAGAATTATGGTACTTGCAGTATATCTTTCCTTTCAATTCATCGGCCTTAGGGATAATATGTCCCGGCCGAAGCTTGATGATCTTTGCCGCCAATAATTGATCGAAAATTGCATCGGCCTTGGTGATGTCGAAAGTGTATACTTTTGAAGATTTACTTATGTCCTCGGCGGCCGAATGGGCTTTGGTGTCTTTGCCGTGTACTTGAGCCAGAGCCTTGCAGACGTATGGTTTATCTATTACTATCTCGGCCGCATCCACACTGACGTACTGAGGGTCCCCGCTTTCGGCCGATGCATAGCTGACCGTGGGGTTTTTATACAACGTTCCCCGGGATGGTGATTTTGAGACCTTCTCTTCTCGGAGCAGGTAATCATACTGTTCGACATGTTGAGCAAGTTCGTACATATCGCGAATGTTTGCCCCCAGGAACTTCTTTTTGTACTCCACGTCTAATCCGTTGAGAGCAATCCTGACGAATTCCACTTCGGGGAGTGGTACTCGGCACCAATTCCTGGCCGACTTGAACCTTGTTAAGTACTCCATTGGAGATTCATCGGATGCTTGAGCCATCCTGGCCAAGGATGATACTGACATCTCCATCCCTGGCCGATAGAATTGTTCATGGAATTTTTCGACCAACTCCTCCCAACTCTGCACAGAATTGGGTGGAAGATTAATGTACCAGGCGAAAGCGGAGCCTGTCAATGAAAAATTAAACAGACGTAGTTTGTAGAAGTCGCTATTAACATCTCCACACTGCGCCGTGAACCGAGCCACATGTTCTAATGAGGACAAAGACGATTCCCCAGCGAAGAGGCTGAAATCAGGGATCTTAAATCCCCGTGGGTATTCAAACCTTTCTACGTAAGCCGGGTATGGATGAATGAATTTTGGAAACTTCGGTCCTTTCTTCAAGGCCGAATCAATCATTCTCTGGACTTCGGTCATGTTCACGGAGGCGGCTTCTTCTCCCTGGCTCGGTCCCTCGGATCTGTTTCCTGGTCCCCTTCTTTCTAAGGTAACCGGTTGCGGCCGAGTGGACCCTCTCTCGGCTGGTACGGGAACATTCGTTGAGAGCTGCCGGGGTTGGCCAACCGGGCCATCTTCGAAGGCTTTACTAACCAATAACTCGAGCATTCTGGTCTGCGTATCATTGTTACTTCGTATTGCTTCTAGCAAATCATTCATCCTTTGACCAATCGAGTGTTCGACCTGACGATACTGTTCATCAAGTCGTCTTCGAAGAAACGACCTAGTTGGTGGATCAGAGCCTTCTCCACCATCATCGTCGCAGTCTTCCACTATCCCCTCCACAAATACGGGCGTCGTTTGATTCGGGATCGCCGCGTTGTGAGGTTGCCCACCGAGACAGATCTCATTCTCTCGGCGGGTCACACTTGTAGCCTCGGGTGGCAAAGCAATGACCGGATTTTTTGCTGGTTGCGAATCCTGCCCGAGGCCTTGCACTGGTAAGTCAGCTGTTGACTTTCCCATGTTCATTTTCTTCTTGGTAGACCGTGTCTCTACGGTCATGAACTCCGAAGGTTTAGCACAATGGTCCCACTGGGCGTGCCAAAATGTTGACTACAAAAATTACAGAACCTACGTGGCGCGCAGGCCGAATAACTAATGAGCTAACTAATGTCCTTCGGTTGAATGCGGGGCGTGCCAACTCGTCGGCCGAGCTCGGCCGAGGAGTAAAATTTGATGCGGTCGCGTTGAGCGCGCTGTTGACTTCTGTATCTTGCGATTGCGACCGAGGAAGGAACGCTCTCGGTCTCTGGATTCTATAGCCTGAAGACAAGGCTACTAATTCTACGGAGTTCACAACTCGTCGAAGCCTGATTCGGCCACTGTGATTATATTCGTAAGAGTATAAGCACGCCGAATTGAGACCAAACTATACGGGCACAGGTACTCGAATGTGATATATGTCTTGATGGTAAACGTAGTTCGGCCGTCGGAATGCCGAACCCTGAAACTTACTTGTGAGTATCCAATCATAAACTCACTCGGCCTCCAATACGCCGAGCAAGGCAATTCGTAACACCCAACTATGCCGAAGCGGCTTAGTAAGATGACCTCTACCAACAAAGGTTCGAAAACCTTTCTCGGCCGAGACTTAGATAGATAATCGGTCGACCTCGACGCAGTGCTGTTTATCCAAACTGAAGGTGTGTCTTGGTCGGCTGATTCTGCGGCAGCAGTGCTGTTTATCCAAACTGAAGGTGCTCACCGGTTGCTTCCACAGTGCTGTTTATCCAAACTGAAGGTGTGTCGGCGGGAAAAGAAAAGGAAAAATCTCAAGGTGTTTGAGAGAATTTGCGCAGGGCAATTGTATGCTGATTGTGGAGGGTCTTTTCTATTGCGTAATTTCTTGTATTTATAGCACCTCGTTCCTTGATTCCCATTCTGATTTGGATTGGGAGTCCTTGTCCCATCTTACCTTTAACTCAAACAATCCCAGTCCTATTGGGATTCTGAATTCTCCTACTTTTGAGGTTCTATCCCTTGCCGGTCGAGAATCCTGGTTGCATCAGGATTTCCTCGACCTTTCCTCGTTTATCTGGACTACTTAAGATCGGATCTGGCCGACCCTGCCAGCTGGTCCGAGTCTCATTACTTGGCCCATAGCATGTGTTATTACCCTGGGCCGAGCACGTCTTGCTGCTCGGCCCAATCATAATATTTTGGGCCCAAACAAGTATATAAAAAAATTAGCATAAAAATACGAGGGCAAAATCACAAGCACACTGTGTTTATGAATAATGATTCAATTGATTTTTAGTTTTAGTAGATTGAATTTGTTAGGGTCCATTGGAATTGGAATAGTTCCTTTCCGGAAATACCATCAACCAATTCAAAATTGAAGTTCAAATTATACAATACAGGGACTCATTTGAAAATGTTTTTGTAAGAAATATTTCTGTTTATAATAAATACTTTCGCAATAAAGGATGAAATGACATATAATTTCTCCATTTTGTTTTGTATGCAAATTAAGCTAAAGACAGATCTGATCTCTACTAAAACCTATTGCATAAACTGATTTTTCTTTTTTCTTTTTTATTTCCTATTCTCTTTCCTTTAGGTTTCCCCTATCTTTGCACCACGAAATTCATGACAAAAGCGATGAACACAACGTTCTTATTTTCTCTATCGCCGATGCCCAGCGACACCTAAAAGTATCCGATAAATGGATTGAAATTCCTCAACTTGGACTTTCTGCTTGTTCTACCACTTGATTTCCCCTCCAGGCAAGCACTCTTTTGGCCTAGAGACCATTTACGTTCGCCCCCTCTCCTTATCCTTTGACAATTATGTACTTGCGTTCGTTTCGCATGTAGTCAGCTATTGCAACTAATCAGCAAAACTTCATTAAGCCTCGGCAATCATCTTCAAAAACACATCGTCACGATCATACTGATCAATGCTTGATGAAAACTCGCTCATGGGCCAAAAGGAATCGAATGCCATCAGATCATCATGCGACAGTAGATAATCACTCGGTGACGAATGGTTGTTGTGGCTTGTCACCGTATGATCACTTGTTGCCTTGACGATCAGTTCTTCTTTAACTGATGATGAAGCGAAGGATGTGAAAAATGGGTGCTCTTGTTTGTTTTCCAAACAGTTGGCGTTGTCAAAACTAATGAATTTTGAGGAATCTCTAGGACTAGTGCAATCCAAGACCAGTTCAGAAGCTTTGGGGTAGTCTCTGCACGTGTGGGTACCATAATATGTGGTTCGAAACACTGGTGGATGATCTTGAACTTGTTGCACTTGCTTGGTTGCTTTGCACGCTTGATCGTATTTGTGAGTGCATCTAAAGTAGTTCCTGCATACATATAACATAAATATGGTCAACCTTATTTCTTGAAATTTTTACCATTTTAATTATTGAAATTTGTTACAATTTTACAAGGTAAATCGTTCATGTACCTTGGATGCTTGGCATTGTGGATAACTTTCTGTCCGTACTTTCTCCATGCATGACTGTCATCAATATTCGAAGTAGGAGTGTCTCTAGTCCAAGAGTGTGAAGCCTTTCTGGAAGGAACAAGTTGCAACTCCTTCTTAAAACTTTTAACATTAAATTAGGAAAAATTCCTATCTTTTTTTTTATATATAAAATGTACGGTTAACGTTAAGTGGTAATACTGCCATGGTAAGGAGGATAGAAGTGAGGACATTTAGGGGGCGTTTGTTGCGTCGGACTATCTCGGACTGGATTAGCTTCAAGGACTAAGCTGGACTGGCTTAGATTAGACTAAACTGGACTAACTTAGTGAAGTGTTTGGTGCAGTATTAGACTAAGAAGCTGGATAATAACAAATTCTAATATTGTTTTATTTAATATATAAATTATTAATATTTTATTATGATCTTATCTTTTTCTCCATCTTTTCCTACCATTTCCATCCCACTCTTTTCCTCTTCTCTCATCTTCCCACCCTCTCCCTCTTTTTTTCCTCTCAGACCTCTCAATTCATGTCTCTTTCTCATTCCTGGTCAAACTCCTTATTGATTCCAGTCTCTATTTCTCTGTCCTCCCTCCCTCTCTAGCTATGTGTTGTTCGAACGGAACCTCACGGCTCCAATTTTCCCGATGTGTTTTTTGGCAAACCCTCATTAAATTGGATGAAGTTAGCATTGCCAAAAAATTCATCACCATACCTGGACCGAGATCTTAGCTTTGTATGCTTGAATCTGTCATGGATTTGAAGAAGCCCAAACAGGCCAAGACTTCCAGGCCATTTTCCGGCCACATTCGACCACATTTTGGCCTCGATTCAAGTAAAATCGTAATCTTGTCACTCCCAGCTTCAATTTGGTATATTTTATATGAAAGTTGGTTGTGAAATGGATCTGAAAGAGAGTCGGAAAGTTAATGATTGATCTAGGTGACTAGAGATGATGAGGAGTCTGTCGGGAGTGGTCGTTGAGCATGACAAGGACGAGAAATAAAGGATAGTCTTAGCTAGTCCCATGGTTATTGGGGGGTCTCACTAAGACCTCTTAGTGAAGGGTTTTGTCCATGCTAATCCCCTTTAGTCTCATTAATGTTAGTCCCAGCATGGAACAAACACAGTATTGGACTAATAGCTAGTCCAGTCCAGTCCAGTCCAACTTAGTGAGGGCAAACAAACGCCCCCTTAGATCATTAAATATAACGAACAGTAAAAGCATCAAAATTTTGTCAGAATACGACACAACGTGAACATATGAGAGCAAGTGGTAGTCGCCACTCTTTTGTTTCAATAGAAATTCTATGCATTATTAAATAAAAATATATTAATTACATTCATTCACAGGAATCTAACAGCTGTTGTGAGCAAATTAATTGTAATTATAGTTCTTTACACATCCACATAATCTAACAACTATTATGAACAAATCAATTAGACATAAGGAACAACATAAGCATTCAAATTTTGTCAGAATATGGTATAAAATTACATATGAGAGCAAGTGGTAGTCTTCGATATTTTGTCTCTACATAAATTCTATGCATTATTGAATAAAATAAATAAATAAACATATTCATCCACAGGAATCTAATAGCTATTATGTGAGTAAATGAATTATAATTATAGTCATCAATAGGAATCTAACAACTATTATGAGCAAATTAATTACAGCTTTCCTTATCATGCACAAGTGGGATGATTAATTGTCAAAGTCAAAAACTCTTACATTTCATACACAGATACTTGAGATTGAACAATCAAATAATCATACATGGAAAAATTATTTAACTGAAAAAAAAATCCATTTGCAACAATATGTTAATGCAGATGTTGATGAATATTACCTAGGTAGTAATTAATTAGAGAAATATAACTAATTACCTTCTCTTGTAGGAACCTCTTCGATCCTTGAAGGTTGAAGTGCTCTTACAACTGATCTCCTCCTCGTTATAATCTTCAGACTTAATATTAGCTGCATGATCATGATTAGCATCCCAAGATGATGAATATCCACCACCACGACCACCGTCACTAACACCAGTACTACCACCATTGACTCCACTACTATTTCCTTGAATCTGATCAGAAACAAACTCCTGATCAGACTCCTTCCCATTTATAATCAAAAGGGTATTCACAAATGACCCCAAAATCTTATTAACAATACCTTCAGCCGATCCCCCATCATCACCATTAACAACAAGTGATCTATTAGCAAAAGCCTTACTAAGTTGACTTGCCAGTTCACGCCCTTGGATCAACTCCTCCACCACCCTCTCCCCATTTGAGAGCACACTTTCCGGCCAAGACCACTCCATTTATCCTAATCTCTCCTGATTAACAAGTAACTAATATAACGATTAAAAATTAATTGATCTCTCTGTGTTTCTGTGATGGTTTGCGGTGCTTTAGCTGTAGCTAAATTTCTGGATGGGAGGTATCCTTTTATACACGTCAAAAGGAGCCTTCCTGGTCAGCTTACAATTCAAGGAAGGAGAAATGAAGGTCCATGAGACAATCCGACACACTCCCCCAGGGCCGGCCCAGGCCCAGTGCGGGCAGGGCGACCGACCCTCTGCAATCCAAAAAAATTAGAGGCACCAAAATTATTAGTGTGGTATATTTATATACGTTTTCATAAGAGTATAAATTTATAAAATTTGGTTGTATAAATTTATAAAATTTGGTTTAATGATAAAGAAATTTAACTAGAATTGATGATTTTGTTGTTTGAAATTAGTGAGGTCTTGGGTTCAAAACACCATGTGTGCTTATTTAAATTCTAATTTTTACAAATTTCTTTTCATAACAGCATAAATTTATAAAATTTGGCTAAATGATTAAAAGTTATTAGAAACAATGGTTTTTGTATTAAAAATTAACGATAGGTCCTAAGTTCGAAATGCTATGTACATGTTTATTTTTTTCAATTTTACGAATTTTTGTTTGGTTGTTAATTTATTTTTAATTACTAGCTAGTAACTATGTAGGTTGCTATTTTTAAACATTCGTTCCAATTCAAGTCTAATCTTCAACAAAGGATAATGTGTAGACTAAATTTTTGATGACGTGGTTAGTAAATAAGAAAAAACATTTCACAATTTATAAAAAAACACTTTAAAAGTTTAGGTGGAAGACAAAACTCATAATCTATCTACTTGTAAGCCTGAAGTTTTTTTGCTTCCTTCTCTCGATACAAAATAAATTAGTTTTTCTGTGTTTCTAAATTACTGAGGTTGAAGTGTTTTTCTAAATATAATTTTATCGATGTCTTACATGTAAAAACAAATAATTTTTTAATTGAAATGAGGGCACATTTTTTTGGCGTTACCCCGAATCTCAAAAATCTCTAAACCGGCCTTGCACTCCCCGCCTTTGACGTCTTTCTTCCGACCAACGGCTGGATGAGCGTCCACTTAAACGAATGTTGTATGTCGTCATTGCATGAGGTAACCCTAGCGTCATCAGCCACTGGTTCCTACTTGGCCTTGTCTAACCCTCTGGAAATTTAGTCATTTTTATTTTGCTAACTTTATTAAACGAACAATTTAAATATCTCAAGTTGTTATTATTTATCTTATCCTAATCAATCCCACCTCGTCCCAGTTGGACCAGACAAAAATTATTGGCCAAAATTACGATAGTACCTTTAGGGTTTGTTGATAAGACGACACTAAGGTGGTAGTTACATCCCCAAGGTCCTTGTTCTACGGTATCTAGTCCGTCCATGCAAGTCTAAACGTGTGAATAAGCATCATTGGAGCAAAACTTTTTTTATATTATTGTCATGATTCATATACCTTATATTCATAATTTCAATTCTAAATGTGATCGTATGATAGTTATATAACCTTTTATTATATTATAACTATTTTACGAGGCATCCAATGGTAGTTTAGTTGGTATATTCAAAGTTCATATTGTCAATGTTCAATTTTAGCAGTGGAAAATAGTAATAGATGTAATGTTACGTGCATTTATTATAGAAGTGGTCATTCTCGCTCCTTTAATTGGATCTCTAGTAATTAAATATTATACTGATCATCAAATTAAATTCAAATTTTAAAGTATCTCCAATCATGCTCTTTATTTTATAGCGAAGTTTTAACTAAAACTATTAAAATTTTACTTTAGGAGTTCTCTGTACTCCCTTCTTTAGAAAGTTATAATGACTATGAGTCAATAATTAGCCAACAAAAATTATTTATTTATCAAATTAACTATCATTAATTATAGAGAGCCACTAGAAGCTCCTTTCCCCTCTCTGTATTTAAGAGTTCCTAAATGAATTCCTATTTTAAGTTTTATGAAATTCTCCCTAAATTCTAGTTGGGATCTCATTGAGGGAGATTCATATATATTTCATCCCTCAAACTTGAAATTAACTTGTAAGCAAGAAAGACAAAATTTCTTGGTAACCAAACCAAAACTCAGTTACAATTCTTTTCATGATCTTGTGAAAATAATCCTAATATCTAAGAACACTACTACGGTATTCCTAATATCTAGGAACACAACTTACGGTAATGTTAGGTAAATTAGTGTTTTAGACTAAATTTGTAAATTATATGTTATGACACCGGTAAAAAATAAGCACGTAAATCAATAATCACGTTATATAATTTACAAAATTTGATTTAAAGAGTTGATCTTCCTAACATTACCCTTATAATAAATGAGACAACGCCGATCTGCACCAGCTTGACTGCTTTCTTATACAGCCCTTGTCTTAGGGGTAATTGCATCGATCTTAAGCAAGATTTGTGAACTGCAATAACAAACAATTTACTAGGTTTTGTTTATGGAAAGAATAAACAATAAAATTATAATAATAGTTAGAGCACTAGCCTTTACTGCACGCATGTGAGTTTAGACAAATGTTTGAGAGATTAAGGCAATGCAACCACGTGCATTGTCGACCCAGATGCATCTACGAGTCGTGACCATTGACTTAGTTCGATAGTGCAAAAGTTCAACTTATGGTATGAGAGCTTAGCGCAAAGCAACGTACAATTTGATTTCTTATACAAAAATACTAGGGAGATTACACTTTTGTATTATGTATTTGTGTACAATTTGATGTGATAAGTGATATGTACATGCAATGTCAATTAATGAATTTATATCACTAAATGACAATTGTATGTATCACTTGTTACATGAGATGGTATACCATTATGGTATAAATATGTATGTGGTTTCTCTAGCATACTCTATCCAATAATTTTAAATTTTTCATGCCTAGTAAACACTAAACCCTTTTGTCACCTCTTTTTTCTGCTACAGTTTTTCTTTTTTTCCCCTTGAACTGAAACGATTCGAATTATCGAAAAGGTATGACAGTAGAAAGTTACCTTCGCTGGGTGAAGAAACTGATAGAAAAAGCCTGCAAAATTCAATTTCAGGTCAAGTTTTACCTAGAATTATGATTGCAGTAGAGAGAGTACGTAACTCCAACAATCCTCTTACAATAACAAAGTGTATCTGATGCCAAAAGTCAGCTGTGTTCCCGTCCTGAACGGACTAGAAAATTGGACAAGTTGAAAATATTATTGTTTGAGCACATTTCTGTTGTTCAAACTTCTAGTCACCCTAGATTACGTTCACACTGTTCGTATTTGTTTTTTTTTCTGGGAATCAAGTTAAAATAATTTAAGCATGTGTTGCAAGCCACTTTATTATTTTATTATTGGAAGATATGGTTTGTGATATAATTCCAAAAATTGGTCAATGCAAGAGATCATCCATTCACTTAACCGTGTCTGCTAATTTGATTAGGAATTTTATACAACCTCACCTTTAGGCTTTAGTTGTTAACAGGATCTATCAGGTCCATAAAATTTTGAAATTGAAGACCCGTTTATAAATGCTTTTGTGAAAAATACTTCTACTTTTAGGATTTCTTTATTTATCAAAAGACTACTTTTAGGGCTTTTGTTAAAAGTATAATAGAACTTTTATTAAAAATTCAACAGTAGTTTATACGCGTTAAATTCAAAAAACATTATTAATATAGTGGTGAGTTTAATAAGTGCGGTCCTTATTTTATAAAAATCAAAATCATCGCATCTATGTATTATACTAATTAACAATAAGGCTCATTTCTACCAAACTCAAATTTCCCGATCCACGCCAAAAAAATCTCTACTCAACAAAGTAACAGAGTTAATTCACTCTTTTTTTCCGTAAAACCAAATATCAAGGTCTTGTGTCTTTCTTTCCTCACGAAACTCATCCCCCACTAAGAACATATTATCTAAAATAAAACTCAATTTATTTGTGAAGAAAAAAAGTACTTAAAGTTAAACTCTATTCAAATTTTAAACTCAAAAATCTATTCTAAAGTACTTTTATAGTCCACTGGTAACTTTAAATTTTTCCTATCATAAACCTTTTAGTTTTTTTTTTTTTTTTGGTCAAATAAACCTTTTAGTTATCCAAAAGCATACTTTTAGTTATTCTTATCATAAACCATAGTCCGGACCGTTAAAGAAAAATTGCACTATGTAAGTAGAGTGAAAATTAGCAAATCAGCAAAAACGAAAACTAAGATGATACAAAGGATGAAATATCATGAAATTTTCTTCCTTTTTTTTTTTTTCATTTTATACATTAAGCTGTAAAAAAAAAAACAGTATTTATCATTTTTAGCCAAAATTTAACATCTCAATTCATAAATACCAGTTTTTATTAAAAAATTCAAATATAGCAAAAAGACCAAGTAAATAGACTCAAATGCCCTCACCATTGAAAACTGTATAAATTTAAACTAACAAGAGATGGCCTTCTTTTCGGTTTTAGAGTTTGAATGTCTGATAATATCCGGATCCCAAACTCAAAAAGTAGAATGAACGAAAAAGATTGAGCACAAACAACTGTCAAATTCATTTCATACTTGATAAAGCTACAACATAGGTCATAATGATAATTTCATTGAACAAAATTTCTGCATATTTCTGTGTAACAATTAACTGGCATTTAGTATTAGGGTTTTGACGGCAATGACGAAGAATGACGAAGTTTGATCTCATTGATTGTTTATTTTCTTCCAAGAAAAAAGCTTATAAATTCGACCTTAGCATGGAGCATATACACTTTTTAATCGATTCCATAAAATAAAATAAAAATTCATATAAAAAAAGTGTCGACTTTTTCAATGCCGCAGCTGACTATATATTCCTTGTTCTATATGCCTGCAACTGGTCCCCGACCTTTTCCATCTCCATTCCTCGCTGAACAACCGTGCAAAAACTTTGAAAGGGTTTTGGGTTCTAAATGGTAATTAGAATTTAATTTAGAGGGCATATAAGCCTATTCAGTTGAGTTTTCTGCTCTAATTGAATTTTTTTATAAAAACTGACATTTATGAATTGGGTGGCCAAATTTTTTGACTATAAACG